TAATGGAAATAGGTTCACCATTGAGTTGGCTTCAATAAAATCCAATGTCTTGTAACTTTATATATGACCAAGGTGTCTATTCTTTTCTTACTACCAATATCTTGTTTTGACCGTATCGCACTATGTATCATTTGATAACCCTCAAAATACTTTATCTTTAGTTCCATTTTTATTTCAAATGGAAGAGTTCGAAAGATATTTAGAACTAGATAGATCTCAGCAACACAATTTCGTATATCCACTTATCTTTCCGGAGTATATTTATGCACTTGCTCATGATCATGGTTTAACTGGATCGATTTTTTTGAAAAATAGAGGTTATGACAATAAATTCAATTTACTAATTGGGAAACATTTAATTACTCAAATGTATCAACATAATCATTTTCTTTTTTTGGCTAATGATTCTAACCTATTAAGACTATAAACTCAAAATTATCTATCCAGAAACAAAAATCATTAGTTCAAATTTATTTCACTCATGAATCCCATATTTCATTAATTTTATCTCCACCACACATAGTTATTCTAGAATAATGCTTGGGACCCCCTTTTGGGGGTCACCCCCTCACCCCCCTTTGCCACGTGGCGGGTGGTGATTGGAGGAGTAGGAAAAAAAAGAAAAAGAAAAAGAAAAAGTAACCAATGAGAGAGAGAGGGGGTCAAAGGGGGTGGGGGGAAAAGGGGGATGAATCATATAAATTCTAATACTGAAAGGTGGGACCGTAGCTTTTTTTGTAAATAGATAGATATGGAGTTCAAATTTTTATTCTCCATGACTAAGCATGAAACGTAATTTGATGTCTTAAAGTTCTATATTAAATAAATATAAGATTGTTATAATATTTTTTTACATACATAATTGATTTTTGAAAAAAATTAAAAGTATAATAAAATAAAATTAGAGTTTGACCAACAATAAGCGCCACATGGCACTCGGGGGCATCTCATCACCCATGATGATGGTTGTATTATGGTCAAAGGAGTCAAAAATTCATAAAGAAACAATCTCATTAAAAAAAATGAGTTTCTTATTATTATGAAAATTCTTTAGTACAAATATAGGAATTAAGAAATAAGAACTCTATACTGTCTCTCTTTTTATTAGGTTCTGTTTGTTTGTATTTTTTTTTTTTGAACACAGAAATTAAAGAAAAACAGGAAAACAAACTAAACAAAAGAAACAAGCTCAGCTCAAAGTTTGCACCAGAGGCTTGGGAGAATTTAGCACCGAATTGATAGGCAAAGAATCAGAAAGAGAGGCTCTTGCAGTCCAGTGAGGAGTCCGGATCCTCTGCCATAAAAGTGCGATTCAAACACCCATTCAAACATTCAAACAACCAAATCTAAGAGGAAGAACACCTCTGGATATTATCATGTAATCTCCAAAAAGTGCGATTCAAACACCCATTCAAACATTCAAACAACCAAATCTAAGAGGAAGAACACCTCTGTTTTTTTTTTTCTCTCTCTCTTTCTTCCTTTTCCTTTTGAACCTGTTTTCTTCTCTCATTTGAAAAGGCCAAGTGTAAAACAGAACAAAACAAACCCACCCTTCAAACCCAATCATCTATATATATATACACACACGTATGTATACATATGTATATATATATAGGATCATTTTGACCAAGTGTAAAACAGAACAAAACAAACCCACCCTTCAAACCCAATCATCTATATATATATATATGCACACACGTATGTATATATATGTATATATATAGGATCATTTTTGTTTTTTTTTTGTTTTCCCCTGACCTCTTCATTTTTCTTTTTAAATTCTTATTTAAATTCATGATCCAAACATCCTTACAAGATTGTTGCTCAATTATTATAGTACATTTTAGCTAATCATTTGATGAAAATTCTCGGATACACCTAGGGATGGGAATTGAATTCCTATTCTATGAGTATCTATGGAGACTCGATCTAAATATATGAATTTTTTCTTCTTTTTTTATTTGTCGGGTCAGTCAAATAACATTTTTCAAATATTCATAGGTATGGATCAAGGACGAGTATCCGCCCATTTCTCCTACATATTATTTATTTTTTAACTCACAATAGAGAGAGAGAGAGAGAAAGTGAAGTAGTATAGCGAGAGGAAGCCTTTCTTCTCTCTCCTCGATTCTTACCGGACATAACTACACAGGACCTCCAATTTATATAGGTGGAAAAGTTGATGATTTTCAAATTGACCACTTAGATTTAACTAAATTGCAAACTAGTCCCCGGTGGAAAAGGCCTAACAACCATGTTACACTGGTCAATGAAAGAAAATAAGGTGGTGTTTGGTTTAGTTTTGAAATTTTGATTTGAGTGTGGAGTTGTGATTTGAGTGCGAAATTGTGAGTTGAATTTTGAAAAGATAAAATTTATTTAGTTATGAGTTTTGAAAAGTGTCTTGAAATGAGTTTTTAAATTTTTAAAAGAGTTTTGAGTTTTGAAAATAGTTTTAAATTGTATTTTGAGTTTTAAGCATCTATTCTTTTAAAATATTAAACAATGTTTAAGAAAAATTTATTTTTTCATTTTAAATATATGTTTTTATTTAGATATTTTTAAACTTTTTATTTTAAATATTTCATTTTATTTTGTAAATATTTTAGTTTGGAAACTTGACAATGTCAGGTAAAGTAGGGGGTGTTACTGTAATTATTCAAACCACAGGGGAGGTCCCTGTATTTGTCAGAAACCTCAGGGGAGGTAAATGTAATTTACCCATTTATTTATTTTTAATCTTCCATGTTCTTCCATGTTTTTTTTTTCAATTACTTAAAAACTTATTTAATTGTCTCAAAATTATATATTTAATTATTTTTAAATAATTTTTTTAATTAATTAATGTGTATTTAATTTTGTTATTGAGTCAAATAAAATAAGATAAGATTGAATGTATATTTAGCTTTGTGAACCTTAAAAAAAAGAAAAAAAAAAGAAGGTCAAGCTCGGTTAGGGAAAATCCAAACCCATTAGGAGATGGATAGAGTAGTATTCATAGGAAACGGGGAATGTGGAATGGAGAAAAATTGTTATAGGGGTTTGGGAATGAGAAATTAATATCTACCCCAGTAACTCCCATTGTCATTCCTAGATAGTCTTGATAAATGAAAAATCAGAATACATTATATATATTAAGTGAGATTAAAAAAATAAAAATAAATAGGTCCACATATTTTACTCATAATTTTTCATAACAAAGGTTTCGTTTGGAAAGTGTATTGACTTTTTAATTTTTTGATTTTTTAACTATTTTAACTTGGGATTAAAAAATCTCGTTTGAGAAAGATTTTTTGAACTTTTTGACTTTTTGTAAAAGAAATAATGTAATGATTATGAGTTGGACATGATATTTTGTTTTATTAAGTTAAAAAGTCTATTTTATCTTTTTATGGTTAAAATAATCTCAAATTGAATCCAATCCTTCTTCCCAAATGAAGCCATAATTAGCTTGGAGTACTAATATAATGTTATAAGATGCTACAGAAGTACTCAATAATTACCCATCATAGGATTGCTTTTTAGCTAAACCACCATTGCCGATTATAGTGATAGAATTTATGATCCCATGGGATTAATAATTGAGAAAAATGCTTCCTACCCCCAGCTGGGGGTGACACCCAGTGAGGTGTCAGCTGGGGGTTGGTCCGGGAAAATAGTTTTTTTTTTTTTTTTTTTTTTTTTTTGATTTCTGACTAGTGGGGGCGCGCCACGTCACTGGGGGCGCCACCCCCACTGGGTGTATGAAGCAAGATTGAATAATTGAATTAGTGGGGTAAATCATTGGTACTAGATATTATACAATTTTGTGAAATTAAAATTCTACACATTACGAAACCAAAAGGTTTTTACCTCACTTAAATCAAGGTTATTAAAATTGAGATCAATGAGAGAGTCATGAATTGAATCGTAAAATCAGTAAATGAGGATCATAAAAATCCACTTTTTTTATTAAAAATAAGATAAAAATGCAAATCATAATGATACATATTAAAAATAAAACGAAAAGTCTCATATCAAGCGATTTTATGACGATCTTATATAATCTCATATGATTTAACACAATCTTACTTGCGATTACGTTATGACACCAATCTTATAACAATTTGAATCGTTTTAACAATTTAAGATAGGAGATCCTACCATCTAAATTGCAATTTTGATAACAATGACCCAAACACAAGAAATGTGGACCTCACTGGCCCAAATACATGAATCAAACAGGCAAACATTGCTCTGTTTTGCAAGGGCCTCAACATCATGCATAATTTTTCCATTTAGAATTAGTATTAACAAAGGCCATATTTGGCATAGTTTCAATCTTTTGCCTTTAAGAACTAAAGATAAAGATACATTATTGTTTTCAAAGAGTTCTCCTCATTTATAAGAAGACTCTAAGTGCCACACCACCAAAAAAAAAAAAAAAAAAAAACAAAACAAAATCAGGAAAATATTATATTTTTTCAGACGAAAGAAAATTCAGACCAAAAAACAAAAAACAAAAAAAACCAATCATCTTGTTTGGTTTTTATTGATTTCCTAAAAATTGAGTTCTGTTTTTGGTATTTTGTTTATTTAATTTTTTTAATATTTTAATCAAATCTTTTATTTTTTAAATACACCTAACTTAAACGTAACTAAAAAATAACATATTTATAAAAAAATATTTTAAAAAATTAATAAATACACACAAAAAAAAAATACTAAGTTTTTGTATTTTTGATATTTAGTAAAAATTCACAAATATTATACTTTTAAAATGTATTTATATTAAGCATCTAAAAATTATAAAAATCACTCAAAATGTTAAAAAAATTTAGTGAAAACAACGGGAGCAACATATTAATGGAGTTCAAACTCCTGATCATGAATTTGTATTTTCACTTACTAATCCTGGGAATATCATCAACACACAAATTTCATTACCAACCCATAAAAAAATTAAAAAAGAAGCAGAAAAAGAAAAAGAAAAGAAAAAAAAAAAAGGAGGCCTAGCCTTATTCAAGAGTAGCTGCCAAACTATTATTGCATTTCTAGTAAGAATTCCACCAATCCAATTTATCCTGGAAAAGAATCAGATTGATAACCAGAAAAGAACCAAGAAAAGTGAAGTAAAATAAGAAGCCTTGATTTTCTTGTTGAATTCCCACTTACAAACGCGCTATCCCTTTTATTATCATATATGGACAAAAAATTTCCTTACCGATGACTCGACCATGAATACCGATAATCCTCATTCATCGTGGAGACGCGCTGCAAGACCTGGAAAGTCGCTGCTGAGCTTGCTCGGCAGCATTAGCGAAGTTTAGAGTCTGTGACTTTGACACCATGTTGACCATACTAGGAGTATCATAGCCAATAGGACCGCTACTAGTGTTTCCACCTTCACTGCTCAACACAACTGTCTGAGTAGTCGAGTCACCCCTAGTTGTTGCCCTTTGCCACGAATGCGAGCTCAAACCTGAGAGCACATAGGCTCGACCCGTGTGCTCGTATAACTCCATGCTTGCCATCCGGTCCCTAATTTCTCTCAGCTCGGTTTCAAGCCAGCTGCAGAGTCCATCCCCTGCTTGGGCTGATGCTGAAGATCGTAGCGTTGCTCTCCTATTTGACAGAACAGCCTGTGCACCCTCTAGATTTCCCATCTCAGCCATCTCTTGTGCCTCTGCAATTCCTTCTGCTACCCACAAGCGATTCCTCTGCCGATCAACATCTAAGCTCGGTATCAAATCCATAGGTGAAAGAACCTCAGGTCGCCGTATCTCAACTCTCTCGCCTTCTATAAGTACCATCTCTTTTGATACAGTGTCCTTGTACGAACACACTATATCCAACAACGATGTCTTTTCCGGCCTTTCCTCACCTTCAGCAGCTGAAACTATGGGAATTGAAAGGTTAACCAAAAATTCTTTCTCCTCGTCTGCATACAGATCGCCGACCTTGATCAAACCTTGCTGCCCTTGATTGGACATTCCACTCGGGTATCTTCCAGATGGTATGAATCCGATCTTTACCCCGGGTGACACTGACCTCACGGTTAGTTGAAGTTCTTGAGCCACGACACTAAGAAGACCGCCAATGCACCTAGCAAAGGCGTCTTGAACCATGCCAACAGACTCGATGAAGGAAAATGTGCCACCTGATGCATCAGATATAGCGTGCATCGCAGTAGAATCGTGGTCTGACCCAAATCCAAATGTGTGAACTGGGATTGTAGGGAGTCTAGCCTCGTTTCCACCAACATTCTTGCTACCACAGATGGAAACAGGCAATAGGTTCAGATATTCCACAGCCTGCCTTGAATTCTGATTCTGTGGACTTCTGCGTCGATTGATACTCTCGCTGTTGTATGTGTCTCTTCCATCAGATAGGAGTATGATGCTTGCAACTGGATTCCTTTCACGGCGTTCTTCGAGAACCCGAACTCCTTTCTTGAGCCCTTCCACGATGTTGGTCCCACCAGATGACACAAGAGAATTGATGGCGAGGACAGCATCTTCGCGGCGTACTTCGGACATCCTGCGAAGTGGAAAGATTCTTCGAGCGGATGATGAGAAAACAACGATAGCCAGTCGGTCACAAGGGCCCAGGTTTTGTATGACGAATCGAAGTGCACGCTTGAGAAGAGCAAGCTTTGAACCTGCCATGCTGCCACTAACATCAAGCACAGTGACGAGGTCAATGGGTGCCCGCTCAAGGTTACGGGCATCACCGAGGAGAGGTGGTGCCTGAACGCCGACAAGAACGGCGAAACTAGAAACAGACTCTGAGGAAGAGATGGCAGGAAACTCAGGAAAGGATTTGATAGTTACTGAATGGGAGGAACCAAGAAAGGTGGGATCAGTGGAGACAGGAGGGAGATTATCATCATCTGAGAAGCGAGGGGGCTCAGGTGGAGGAGGAGATGGAAGAGGGTGATCATGAGGGATGTTGGGCGGGACATCTTCAAGCAAGGGACGGTAAGGAGAGACTCGAGCTCGGCCTGAGACATTAAACCGAGGATCGCCAAGGTTGGTGGGGAACTGGAAAGGGATGTCTTTCCACTTGGAACGGCAAATGGGGCAAAGGTGATTTCCGTGCTTAACGCTGTTGGCAATGCAGCTAAAGTGGAACGAGTGGGTGCACTCGGCTGTGAAGATCGCTTGGCCCTCCCCGGTTTTTAAGTGTGCCAAGCAAATTGCGCAAGTTTTCTGTAAGAACAAGCAATTTTTTACAAAACAAGGTTAATTACAAGATGATCATTACAAATACCATCTGAAATTAATCAAATAATAAATGAAAACTTGTACAGTGTCTTGCACTAATCTGGAAGAATATAATAAACTTTGTGACAGAAAAAGAACACAACTACTATAATAACAAATTTCTCTTCAAGTAGTTGTGGTGGGAAAATAAAATTCAAATGTAAAAAACTGTCCCAAAAGCAAATTTGAAAAAGTCAAGTCCTCAATTACAGGACAGATTATCATTATACATACCAATCTGAAATTCAGAAAATAATATATGTCTTGAAGAATATAATAAACTGAAACAGAAAAAGAAGGTTGTTTGACCGAAGGAGTGTTCCATTTCCACCAACACAAGTAAACCTTCAATATATTTTAATATATTTTGATTTATTTTTTTTAAGCATATTTCAATACACTTTTTACAAGTAAATCAACATTACGGAGCGATTATCATTACCCTTTATAAAGAAAAAAACTTGTGTCCTCATGTTGGAATTATCTAGTGAGCATGAGCTGTTAGCCATTTGATTGCACCTTGATCTTTAGTTGGCACTAATTAATAGAAAGAATTAATTAAAACAACCAATTAAAATTTCAATTTACCCAGAAGAGAAATAACCCACATATAAAAAACTTCAAACCCAAATTGGGAATAGTGCTTTACATAATCACCATTAAGCAAATTCAACCACGTTTGTAATAGACAATTCCTTAAAAGTCAGCCAAGCCTGCCTAAAATGGAATCACGAGTTAAAAAGTAAAACTTTCTCAAGTCTTTTAGAGCAACCACTTAACGAAAATGACCATTAATAACAAAAAGGTAAAAGGTCAATAACAATGTTTTCAACCTTAATAAAAATGGTACATTTTTACATAATAGAAGTGTGTAATAAATATGTACACTTTTAAAAAACATTTTTAACCTATGAAATTAATTGAGACACGTCTTAGGATATAAAGATAAGATCTCGGCGGTTTTTTTTTTTTTTTTTTTTTTTTTACTAACCAAACATATAATTAGTTGAGATCAAATCTAACTTGGTGTTCCTAACGACGAATAATCTTCACCAACACTGTCGATCATTTTGATCATTTTGGCTACTTTGGACGGGTTAAAAAAAAAACTCTCCGTACGTCAAGTGTATGACATTAATATATTTTCATAAAAAGATAAAAAAATTAATTAAATAATCAATTTTCAAACAATTTTGTCAAATTAGTTCCTTTACGTTTTTTACAAATTTTTTTATATTTTTTTTAAATAAAATAAAAACATCACAAAAAAAAAATAGAGGTACTTATGTGTAGGTCCTAATAAGTAACTTATTGTCTAATAGATCCTATAAAAAAAATTTGTCATAAAAAAATGTCACTAATTGTAAGTTCTAGCAACAATTTATAAAAATCATAACAAAAAAAAGTCATTAATTGTTAATTTTTAGCCACGTATGAAAAAAATTGTCACAAAAAAATTATTTTTAACAATAATTTTATTAAGACTTATTTTCAATAAGACTTGATAGAAATTAAATCTAATTATTATGACTTATTAGTAGTTTACCCAAAAAAATAATCCCCAAACACCCCCTTCATCTCCAACTAACAATCTAGAAGCCCACCAAACAACAAAACATTATAAACTAATAATCATAGTAATAATGATGATGTTAATTTTTTAATAAATTTAATTGTTGGTCTAAATAACAATCAGTTTATCTCCGTTTGGCAAGAGCTAAACGGGGCTTTTTTGGCTATTTTAGCCACAAAAAACAAAATAGGCTATTTTAGCCACAAAAAACAAAATATCACATCCAACCCATAATCATTACATTCTTCTCTCACAAAAAAAGCCAAAAAAGCCAAAAAGCCAAAAAGCCCTTCCCAAACCAAACTTTTTAGCCCAGGCTAAAATAACCAAAAAAGCCAAAAAGCCAAAAAGCCAACCCACTTCCCAAACGGAGGCTTAGTTTCAGTTTTTCAAAATTTAAATTTTTTTATTCACTATTTTTTTTTTTGTTTTTAGTGAATATTTATAAAATTTTAAGTAATTTTTTTTTACCTTTTTTTAGATACACATTCTTAGATGTACATCTAAATTGTAAAATATTAGTGAAAAAATATTTTAAAAAATTAATAAATATATAAAAATACAAAAAATATATTGAATTTTTATATTTTTTTTTGTATTTAGCGTATTTAAAAAAAAATCATAAATATTATACTTTTTAAAGATATTTATATTAAGTGTGTTCAAAATTTTTGTTTAAAAATATTATTTAAAATATTAAAAAAAATTAAAATACAAAAAAATAAAAAAAATAAAATTTTCTAAAAACTAGAACCAAACCAAGTGAATAATGGTAACGATGCATTAAAGTGTTGAAAGGGAAATGCCACCATCGAATGGTGGTTCGGTAATTTCATGAAGACATCTCAATTCCCAATCTACCTCCCTCTACAGTTTCAAATCCCAACAACCCTTTTCTTAAATAATAAATAAACATTAATTACAAATTTAATATTTGAAAAAATAAATTCCAAACTCTATGCAACAAAAGTCAAAATAAAAAAAAAAATCAGAGAAGATATTAATTAGTTAAGCACGGGAAACGTGATCAAATGTGAAAAAGTTCAATGTACGAAAGTACCCTGCAAACCGTCAGACTTTGCAGCATTTATTACAAATATCATCAAGGGCATTATAGTCAAAAGAAAAAGGTTAGTAACCGAACTCAGTTTGGATACTGAGAAAAATTAGGCTAAACAGCTGGCTTCAGATTCGTTTTTTCCGCGACTGCGCCGGAAAATCAGTTACAACCGGCGGGAAAATTCTCTCGACGAGAAAATGAGATCGAAAGTACGACCATTTCAGTGAAATGAGAGAGAGAGAGAGAGAGAGAGAGAGAGAAGTAATCTTCATCGGAAAATGAGGGGAAAACAGCGAAAAAGTGAGGGAAAACCGTACCTTGGAGGATCGGGCGCTGATGCTTCTGGATAACCGAGAGATAGAGAGAGAAGCCGAACGAGAGGACACCGTAGAAGATCGAGATTCGGGCTCGGAAGAGTCTGTGAGCAAATTGGTAGAACGTTGAAGGGATGTTTGGGACGATTCAGAACTGAAGAGTTTCAGGGAAAGCGATTTCTTCAGCTTGTTCCATGCACTCGCCATTGAAATCGTTCGAAATGGAGTTAGGGTTAGGGTTTGGTTTTGGTTTTGTAGAGAGAGAAGATGAAGATGCAGAGAGAGAGAGAGAGAGAGAGAGAGAATTGGGACAGAGAAGTAGGAATTGGAGTAAGAGCTATAAATGCTCTGAGTTTGGTGATGTTATAGAAACATACGTTTTCTTTTACAGCAACGAAAATTGAAATTTTTAGGTTTTTTATTTACTTTTAATTAAAAAAATAAAATATAAAAAATATAAAAACATACTAGGGCCTCGTTTGGCAAGAGGCTATTTTAGTCAAAAAGTCAAAAAGTTACTAAAAAAGTCAAAAAGCCAACAACTCATACCAAAAAGTCAAAGATTCCATTTTCTCTCTACTTTTTGCACATCTTTTTGTAAAAAGCCAAAAAGTCATCCCAAACATACTAGTTTTTTTTACATCACATTTTAGCCAAATAGCCAAAAAGTTAAAAAAAACCAAAAAACTTATTTTTATCAATTTAACAAAAATAAGATAGCATGAATTTTTTATTTTATCTTATAACAAAAAGATAGTATGAATTTTTTATTTTATCAATTTTATATAGTATAAATAATCTTTTATTTAACAAAAATAGAATTCATACTATCTTATCAAATAAATTTTTTTACATATAGTATGAATAAGTTATTTTATCTTATCAAATAAGATAGCATAATAAAATAAGATAGTATGGCTTTTTTATTTTATCAATTTAAATTTTAAATTTTTTTTATGTAAAAAAATATAAATTATTTATTTATTTTCATTAGATAAAATCAATTGAAAAATAAGTATGTTAGAAATTAAACTTAATTAAATAAGTTTTTTTTAATATTTTATATATAGTTATATTGAGTTTAATAATTACTATACTCATACAATGTCCGTTTTACTTAACAAAAAAGAGATGAATGATTTATTTAGAATATAAATCAGAAGAGTATGATTTGAATTGATAAAATAAAAAATAAAAAATTTATTTTGTTTCAAAACTAAAACCTTGAGAATTACATATATATAATATAACATTATAATTTTGTGAGAAAATGACAGTTTTATCCCCAATTCAAAATTTTGTGAAAGGGGGAGTATATCAGAGTGTCGTGCTAGCCATGAATCCAGAGCTCAATTTGAATGAGTGAATTTTAGGGTAAAGGAATTTGAGCTTAACTTTATTAAGTGGTCGTTTGGCAATAAATTTTTAGTTAATTTTTTAATTTTTTTAACCTGAGATTTTTTGATCGTTTGGTATTTTTGTTTAACTTTTTTGACTTTTTAATTTTGAAATGGTAATTTTTTTTTGTCTTTTTATGATTTTTGTCCTTTCGTATTTTTTTAACTTTTTTTTTGTATTTTTGTAATTATTTAGCCCAACTCACAAACAAACGACCCCTAAATTGTAATATGATTAATTTCAATTTATATCTACTTATTAAACTCTTATTTCAACCCATTATTACTTTATTTAGGGGACATAAAAAAATAAAATAAAAAAGACTTTAGCTTGTTCACATCTATCTCAACAAGAATAATATCTAAAAAAGGAGCAACGACCAAGTGCGTTGGAATTTGATGAACGAGCTCTCAATTTAGGACCAAAGTGGTTTGAGTTGAACACTTTGTTTAGAATAGAATTTCATTAATGAATGAATGAATGCGAGACTTTTTGTTTCTTTGATACTAATGTGAAGGCACAAGCATCAATTGTTGAGTTCCCACGTAAAAATATCATTTTAGGTAGGAGTAAGCGGCGGATATATCGATTCGTCAAAATCGATCGAATCGATTCAATCTGTCGCATTTTGGACGGATGTGTGATGACGAGCGGACGGTTGCGGATTGATTTTCTTCAATCCGTTAATTTGGTAGACGGATGGCGGATTTGAGATTTATTTGGCCACAACTGAACCGCCAAACCGCCAAACCACGAGCACCCCTAGTAATTTATAAGATTTTGTGTTTTCAATTTATTTAAATATTATGTTTGTGTTTTCAATTGAAAGAGAGTTTAAATATTCTGTTGAAAAAAAGTTTTCAACTTGAATATATTTTTTGAATTGAAAAAAATAAACGTATTATTTATCTATATTTTTTGGTTTTTAAATCTAAATCTAAAAATAATAAATAGAAAATATGATATATGCTGGTTGATTTTTGTTTTCAAAAACATATATAGATATAACAATACAGAGACATAGAATCTCTACTACTGTTCTGTTCATGGTTTTGGTGGTTTGAATTGTTATTATATTTTAAGAACCACAGATTGTAATACTCTATGTGGATGAATCATGCTGTGATTGTAATATGTGGATGAGGCATGCAGTGATCGTAATATTCTAAAGTTTTAAACTTTCTTTCTTTAGATAAGGCATACAGTGATTCTAATACTTTTTTATGTCATTGACTGTAATACTTTCTTCTTTTTTTTTCTTTTTTTTTGGAGAAATTGTACAAGTTGAATTATGTTGAAAATTTATAAAATTTTAAACCGCCAAACCAATTCGCATTCATCTGCCAAACCGCCAATCCGCTCAATCCACATCCGCCGGATTGGCGGACGAATGCGGATTGATTTTCTCCAATCCGCCAATCTGGCGGACGGATAGCGGATTGGAGGTTCCGTGACCGCAACCGACTCGCGTCCACCCCTAATTTTGGGTTCGTTTGGAAAGTGAATTTTTTTTTTGACTTTTTAGTTATTTTAGTTTGGGGTTAAAGAATCTCGTTTGGGAAGGATTTTTTTACTTTTTGTGAGAAAAAAAATGTAATGATTATAAGTTGAATGTGATATTTTGTCTTATTGGACTAAAAATTTATTTTATTTTTTTGTGACTATTTTAACTAAAAAAGCCTAACTCTCAACTTTCCAAACGAGCTCTTTATAGTCTTGTTTGATAAGAGTTAAATTAACTAAATATGTGCAAAAAGATAAAATAGACTAAATCTATATAATAAGGGAATAGGATTTTTGAATTTATCTTAGAGACAATTGTCCTACTAGGACATTTGAACGGTTGAGATGACTTTCAATAACAACATCTAACGCTAAAAAATGTATGAACCAATTTAAGAATTTCATATTCCCACCCATAAACATCTTCTTAGTGTCCATGTGTTAACCCACGTCCATGCTCTCTCTCTCTCAAAGCCATATCTCTCTCTCCCTCTTCTACGCTTCTCACTCATGTCCACGTCTCTCTCTCTCTCTCTCTCTCTCAAAGACTGAAACCCTAACCCACGTTTCTCACCCACATTCATTTCTTAGCTTTTCATAAATTTATCTCTCTATATGTTTGTGTATATATACTAGTTTTAGTGACCTTAAGTTGTTTTGATTATATATATATATATCGAATTCAAGCTTTTTGTGTATTGGCAGAGAAAGAGAGAGAAATGGAAGAAAAGAAGTACGTAGCCACAAGTTTCGATTGGGATTGTTTGAGAGAGAGAACACAAATTTCGGTAAAATGGTTTTCTGGGTTTGAAGAAATATTTCTCCATCTTCATGTCCTCTCTCTCTCCCTCCTCTACCGTCGTCGGAAATAACACCTACAGCAACTCTTCATTCGTTCAAATGTCCCATCCCCTAAATCGATAAGAATAGTTTTAGATCTCAACATTCATTGATTCAGACCAATGTATAACAATCAAGGGAGAAAAAGAAGAAAGAAGACGATATCGATGTCGATCCAAAAGTTTTCGATGATTTCTTCGATCATTGCACATGCTAATAGATGATGCGTGTTGGTTGTTTTTTTTATTCTGATTTGTTCAAAGTTGTTTATATATTGATATTGATCATTTGAGTAAAAGTTTTTTAATTCTGATTTGGGTACCCTGTTTTGTTTATATATTGATATTGATCATTTGAGTAAAAGTTTTTTTAATTCTGATTTGGGTACCCTGTTTTGTTTATATATTGATATTGATCATTTGAGTAAAAGTTTTTTTTTTTTTTTTCACCACATATATTGAATTGGGTTTGATTGTCTCTAGATATTGGTTTTGCTTTTGAATCTCTATTTCAAAGGGATATTTATGGAAAATGCTATAACTCTTAAATTTTCACTATATATAAATTCATATGAGTGTGGAGTCCACAAAATTTGGTATTGGAGTTTGTTCAGGCATATGATCAATCTGTGGAATTTTTGTTTTTGATATAGGTCTATCCTGATCCCATTAGGGTTGTGTCAATTGGCCGAAAAATGAAGGACCTCCTTGCTGATCCAGAAAATGACGAGTGGTTATCAATTTCCGCAGAGTTGTGTGGAGGTAGCATCTCTTTGTAATTTCTGGTGCCACTTTTGGGAGTTCTATTAAATATTGAGGTGTAGTGTGTTGATTTTTTTAGGGACCCATTTATCAAATACAAGAGAGGCTAAGGTGTTTGCTCTGTTGTCTGAGGGGGGAATTGCCAAGGGAATTCGTAGAGTAACTGCTGTTACAACAAACTCTGCTTCTAGGGCCTTGGAACTAGCATTGTCACTTGAGCAGGAAGTAAATAAGGCATCAAAAACAGAAGGAAGCTCCTTGGAACAGGTTGTCACTTCTTTTTATTATTTTTACCAGATTCAGATTCAAATACAATGTAAATTCAACTACTTTTTCAAATTCATTATTCATGTTTGACCGTGGCTTTTTGTGTGATAGTTTGAGTTACATTTTCTTCTTCCTGAAGCAAGGGTGTTGCTTAATTCATTTTTCATGTGTGATCCTGCCTTTCTCCATCAGCTTTTCTACCCTTTTTAACTTACATTAATCTCTTTTTTGCCAAGTCTAAAATAGTTTTTCTGTTTATTTCATTCTTTCTACTTCTTAGGGACCAGTCTTTATACATTCCTTGATGTAGGCTTGACCGTGGCTTTTTGTGTGATAGTTTGAGTTACATTTTCTTCTTCCTGAAGCAAGGGTGTTGCTTAATTCATTTTTCATGTGTGATCCTGCCTTTCTCCATCGGCTTTTCTACCCTTTTTAACTTACATTAATCTCTTTTTTGCCAAGTCTAAAATAATTTTTCTGTTTATTTCATTCTTTCTACTTCTTAGGGACCAGTCTTTATACATTCCTTGATGTAGGCATTGCATCAACATGCCCCCTATGGGCCCTACCTTTCTAC